CAGGAGTAATCTGTTCTACTTATTTCCCATTAAGTCAAACTACAGAACTGAAATGAACCAGAATTGTGTAAAGTCACAGATGCTAACTCTGGAAAAGACAAAAAGAAAGTCAGAGAAAGACAGAGAACATTTTGATGAATGCCTAGTTCGGGGTTATTAGCCCCTTTGAACCAGATTTTCTCAGGCTAAAGCTGTAACCCTGCGACAAAATTAACATAATTGTTCCTCTGTTAAAAATTATGACATACACATGTAACCTTCTTTATATATTTGCCTAAGTATTGTTGAATTATGAATACTTCTATTTCTGATGTATCTAAATTTATAGGACTAATCCCTCCAACTCGACACTTACATCCAAGTTATTCCAGTTACTATGATTATGTGATAGGAAGTTTAAGAATATGGAATTGATGGAACCCTCTTGAGTAAATCCAGACTCTGCAACTCACTGGCTCTAAGATCCTGGACAAATCATTTATATCTCTCTACCTCAGGCTCCTCTTTTGTAAAAGGGGACTACAACTTCAGCTATTGATGAATTTAAATGTGATAATGTTTGTGTGCTTATCACAGGTCACATAGGAAGAACTCAGTAAACAGATCAGCTAAACTTATTAGTGGTGGCTTATTTCAAGCTTTGTCTTAGTTTCCATTTTCTCTGGCCTTTTCTTTCCTGTTGTTCCCCTTTTCATCTTAGAGTGTGTTTGTGTGGTCCACACATTTGTGTATTTCACTTCAAGAGACCTTCACTTTGAAGCCCCCAGACAAGCCCCCTTCACTCAGCCCCAATCACTGACACGCCACATCATTTTTGCAAGGAATTTAGCTTCAGAAGACCAATAGAAGGAGACTTACTGAGAAAAGTGTGACTTGGCAACAGTTGGTGTGGAAGGAAAAATGCATGAGGACAGAGTTAATAGTTTGGTATGACCTCGTTTTGACAATGTTCCCATTGTTATCTGAAGACATGGGTGTTCAGATCAGATAGATTGTTGTGTTTCTTTTTGCTTTGAAGAGAAGTGTACAAACCATACTTGAGACAGTATGTTCTGTCCTGGATTTCACAATAACAAGGAACAAAAACAAGATTACGAATATTTGCTCCTCCTGGCAGAGTCTGTCTCTCTCTCTCTCTCTCTTTTTTTAAATCATTAAAAACATTTTCATTAGTGAAAATTTTTAAACCTCAAGCAATGCTAGAATAATTTTGTGGAGAATCCCTAAAAACCCAACACCTAGATTATACCATTAACATTTTACTATACTTGTTTTTTAATGTATCTACCCATCTGTCCATTAATCCATCTTTGATGCAATTTAAAGTAAATTGTAGGCATCAAAACCCCTCTTTCTAAATGCTTCACTCTGCATATCATATTTAAAACCATATGTTTACATACTTTTCTTTTGATGTGAAGTTTGCAAACTATGATATGCATAAATCTTATACGTGTTTTCACTGAGGTTTGGAAAAAAGTATACAACTCTGAACCAAAACTTCTGCATTTCAACTGTTGATTTTTTATATGTGACTTGCCTCTTCTATCTAAGAAACATAAGATTTCTGCTCTTCTGAGGTTTATCCCCAAAGACTAGCTCAGAACTAGACAAGTATTTTGATCACTTGCTCAGTTAAGGCTCCCGAAAAGAGCCATGAAATAAATGGTAGAGTCTTGAGATGTGGATGAGAGATTTGTATAAGGCAGAAGGGATAGGCAGAGTGGCAGAAGGTGGCAGAGGCATTGCAGGCAGCAGAGGGTGAAGCGATGGAAATACATTTTTTGCTTTCACAGCCAGCAGGAACCTGGTCTGGCTGGAGGAGACCCTTCCAAACAGGAGAGAGGAGTAGGCCGTGCAAAGGGACAATACTTTTAAAGATGTTCAATGACTCACTTATCTAACTGCATGTGGTCCTCCACATGTTTACCTGAGAAGTAGCTAAGTTACTTCAGGGGGTAGAAACAAGGGAGAAAAGGGCTTAATTTCCCTCGTAAGCATGAAATTTAGTATACAGTAGTCCCCCTTATCCGTGGTAGTGTCAGTTACTGTGGTCCAAAAATATTAAATGGAAAATTTCAGAAAGAAACAGTTGCTAAGTTTCAAATCCTTCACTGTTCTGAGTGGTGTGATTAGGTCTCAAGCTGTCCTGCTCCCTCCCACCCAGTTCATGAATCACCTCTTTGTCCAGTGTATCCACACTGTGTGCTTCCCACCCTCTTACTAGTCTCTTAGTAGCAGTCTCAACTCTCAGATCGATGGTTGGAGGATCTCAGTGCTTGTGTTCAAGCAACCTTTATTTCACTTCATAATGGCCCCAAAGTGCAAGAGTAGTTTAAACTTTATCATAGATATCTTCCTATAGGAAAAAGCATAGTCTATATAAGATTCCACACTATAGATAGGCATCTACTAGGGGGTGTTGAAATGTATCCCCTGCAGAAAAGGGAGGAGGACTATACAGATAAAAAGGACAGAAGAAAAAACACTTGATGAGAAATGTTTAAAATGTTAAATGAACAGAAGATAGACTTATTTTATTTTATTTTATTAATTTAAAATATGTTTTTATTGATTTCAGAGATAAAGGGAGAGGGAGAGAGATAGAAACATTAATGATGAGAGAGAGTCATTGATCGGCTGCCTCCTGCACGTCCCCTACTGGGGGTTGAGCCAGAAACCCTGGCATGTGCCCTGACAGGAAATTGAACTGTGACCTCCAAGTTCATGGGTCATGCTCAACCACTGAGCAACACCAACTGGGCAGAAGATAAACATTTTAAAACCGATGTAAATACTGAGACAAAGAACAAAAATATCCTGATCAGTGAAGGCAGTATTATGCTGAAACTGCTGACAGAACATAGTGATAAAAGCTACTGATTTTTGAGCTCATTGCGTATCAAAGACTATTGAAGTGCTTGCATGCATCATTTTCTTAATCCTCACGATACATTTACAATGTAGATACTAGTGTCCCCATTTTACAGAGGAATAAATCGGAATTCAAAGAAGTCAAGTGACTTGTTCAAATGAACATAGCTTTTGTCAAAAGCCATGACTCACATTCTAGTCAGTGTGATCCACCCTCTTATCAGCGCCTTACCCTAACTATGTATTGTGTGGACATTTTTGCCAGCAAGGTAAATAGTCGTTAGGCATGGAAAAGCACACATCCCACACTTAAAGGAGTGGAAAGTATATATTTTCCCTAGCATAACCTAATTCACTCCTTGGGTTTTTATCTAAATATCAGATGCATCCCTAAGTTTGGTTAGGTCCTTTCAATGAGATACATGAATGGTAAATGTCTATTATGCATAAAATATAATTGAGATTTTCTTATAAGGCAGAACTATGATCTTAATATATATAATTAACACAGTTTACTCCTCAGAATAGAAGCAAAAATCTTACCAATAACTACAAAGTCTTTCATGGTTTGAGTTAATTATTCTCAGACCCTATCTCCAATTATTTGTCCACTCACTCACTCCACTCCAGTCACATTGCTTCCAGGATGAACCTTGAACAAGAGGTATGCTCCAGGTAGAAGGATTGTGTTCTAGCTTTAACTTTTATTCTTCCCCAAATATTGGTTCAGCCAAATCCCTTCTCTCCAAGTCTTCCTAATAAGAACTCCTCTAACTGCCTGACTTAGTTCAGCAGTTGGCCATTGCCTTCCCCAAGCATCACTACTCGGTGTACTTGTTCACTATTTTTGTCTATTTCTCCCTGCTGGTATGTAAACTCCATTAAGGGAGGGATCTTTTGTTCTTTTCATCCCCACCCACAACTGTATCCCAAGCACCTAGAGCAGAGCCTGACACAGAGTAGGCACTCAGTCAACGCTTGTGGATAGTTTCACCTAGTAAATGCAGTTAGAGACGTCTTCTGTGTGAGTTCACCCAGGAAGGTGTTATTTGTAAGTACACACTTTACACCATGAAAGTACTCGAAGGGAGACCTAGCCCCCTGACTTCCATCTGGATTACTCAGAATAAGGTATTTATATATCCAACTTGTCTTCAGAAGATTGAACCAGCTACGTGGAGACTGAGTGGGCTATCAAAGGAGCTGTCTTGTGACCTTGATTCTTCTACTATCTGTAGCATTTTTCTTCGGCAATAACTAATTAGACTTTCTATGGGCCTTAAGATTCCTTACGTTCCATCCAGTTCTCTTTTTCCACGATTAAGATCAATTGACTGCTTTCTTTCAATGTACACACTTTTACAGACTTTGCCTCTATTCACTGTTGATTGGATATTTACTATTTATTTATTTATTTATTTTAAATATATTTTAATTGATTTCAGGGATAGGGGAAGGGAGAGGAAGAGAGAGAGAGAAACATCAATGATGAGAGAGAGTCAACAATTGCACGCCCCCTACTGGGAATTGAACCCACAACCCAGGCATGTGCCCTGACCAGGAATCAAGCTGTGACCTCCTGGTTCATAGGTCAATGCTCTGAGCCATGCCAGCTGAGCTAACTGTTTATTTATTCACTTTTTTTTTTTGTCTGCTGGACTCTATGATATTCCTTGGAAAACAAATAATGCATGGGTTCACATAGGATATAGTCCAAACCCACCAATTCATAGAGATGTAAAGCTATGGTCCAGAGAGGATAAATGTGTTACTTTTATATAAAATACTTTCCCCCAAATTAGGAAGAACTAATATTACCTCCCCTAAGTCTCATATAAGAGATAGTGTAAAAGAAAATTCTTCATTATCCACATGGGAATTCCAAGAATAAGAGAGGACAAGGGATTTTCTCAAGATCCCACAGTGACTTCATTGTTCATTTAGATCAGAAAAAACAGATCTTTTTATCCATATTTATGCCAGGTTAATTATTCCATAATCTATCTGTATGGCTTCTTTATCTCAAAGTAAAAACATGAGCCAGACTTCTGCAGAATTTATTTTATTGTTAAGCAAATCAAGGAAAAGAGATATATATTGAGCTCCCAAAGACCCAGGCAGAGAAAAAAGTGGTTTTTTTTATAAATTTAAGAAATCTGCTAGAGAAAAATCAAAGCAGAAGCAAGGAAGGAAGGCGGAGAGAGCTGGCAGGTCAGCACAAAACGCTGGCTCGGATTCAGCATTTTCCATAATGCTTTAGGCTGATCTTCCCACCACTTTTCCTGTAAAAGAGAAAAACAAAATATGCTCAGTGCAATATCATTAGTATTCGTCGCAGATGTTGGACAAGGTTTAGCTATGTCATGGTTATGTAATCATTTGATTCTACAGGTATCCATGTGGACAATTTGGCAGAAGTTAATTAAATTCACTCAGAGGTGACATCTGTCCTAATTACAGAAAGCATGAATCTTAAACAAACAAATTCAATTAGACTTAGACCTTTTGATTTCATTTGTTTCTTCTCTGAGAGTAAATATGTATACACCTGGAAAAGGTAAAAGTGGCAGGAGAAATCACAGCAAAGAGACTGCAGTGTCACAGTTCTGTCCTGATGGAAGAAGGGAGAAGTTAAACCAAATATTCAGGCATTGGGCATTTGACAGCAGACCGCATATTCCGGGCTTCTCAGCAATGAATGTCCATCATATCCAATCTCAACTTACCTACTGCCCTTATCCTGGGAAAAGTTTGGCATTAATTAGCCAGGTAAGTTATATATAAATGTAGAAACATATTTATTATGCATTGATTCAATATTTATTCATTGAACTCTATGTGCTTGGCCCTGCTCTTATGGATAGGGAACTATAGAATCCCTGTGCTTAGGAATTTTACAGCAAAACTGAGGAAAATTAAGACATTCATAGAAGAAACTCTAATACAAAGAAAGGATGGCAGTGGTGGAGATGTGAGGTTGCCTTTAAAGAGAGATAGAGTTCCCTTGATGGTAGAGCAACCAGGCTAAGAGATTGATTGATTGAGTAAATTTTTATTAATTATAAACTATGTCACATCGGGAAGCTCGCAGCCTATTGGCTAAAATTACAGCATGTGTTCTGCTCCTTTGAAACACGTAAGTTCAATAAATACTGGCCCTTGACAGAACCTTCCTAGTATACTGTCTGTAAAGTTTGAATAGTCTGGATAACATAGGATGATCCTCTCCTCTGTCCTTTTCATCAGACTAAAAGAGAGGGATGAATGAAAACTGGTGCCTTAGCAACACAAAATTTGGTATGAAATAAAATGTTTGAAAATAATGTAGCTGAAGTAGTGTTTTTATTGCTAATAAGTTTTCTCACAATATTCTCATGTTTTGATTTTGATGAATTTTCAAGCTCTTAACTACATTGCTAAAAATGTATTCATTGTTTCTCAAATTAATAATAATAAGAAAACATAAATTAGATAAAAATTATTAAAATTTTTAGTTAGAAATAAATGGAAAAAAATAGGAAAATGTGCCAAAGTTTCTTAAAGATGTATAATTTCTTAAAAATTTTTCCGAAGATGAATCACATTTAATAATGATAAAGGAACAAAGACTATGCTTTCAAATAATTTATTATGTAAATTTTGGGGGGTTTTGACTGATTTGTCTTCAATCCATTTATCTGAAGCTTATTTCTTTTATCTCTGTGGGTGAGTATGAATAGGAATTTCTAGACTATCTCAAAGAAAGCGTCTGTGCCTTATTCTGGAAGTTTGTGTTTGCCGGGACAGGTTGCCGAGCATGATACTTACTCCGCTGCCTTGCAGAAGGCACACTTATTGCCGTATGTCTGGCCATCAGAGCCACAGTGGGGGTTAGATTCCCGAGTGCAGTAGACCTTGGGATCCTTGAAATCACCACAGTCAACCTACCAAAATAAGCACAGTGACACGGACATTAGTGCATCCTGTCTAATGGACTGTTCTGCACAATAGAAGCTTTAGACAGCAAACTTAAAATTATATATATAAACACACACACACACACACACACACACATATATATATATAATAAAGCTATATATACAGGGTGTCCCCAAAAATGTATACAAACTTTAACAGTTGATAGCTCAGTTTTGAAAATGAAATGTATTTAAATAATCACTGCCTTTATAATTATTCAAGGTGTGTATATACATTTTTGGGGACACCCTATATAGTAAATGTATATAAATATTCATATGTTATATACAAATATATAAATTTTTATTTATATAAAGTTGTATATAATATATAAATATTTTTATATATTTATTTGTTTATATATGTATATGAAATTATATGCATAGAAATGTATTTTTATAAAATTACATATCTCTCTCTATATATATTTGTGATGTAAAGCTTCCTGAAATAGAAAATGGCCTTCCTTGTCTGTTTGTCTAGAATGTTTTAAACATAACAGACTTTTTCTTACTACCTTATATATGCAAGGAGTAAGGCACATATCATAGGTATAACTTTTTGCTCCAAACACTAAATTGTTTCAATGGAGAGTAGTGTTTGGTCTTTGTGACACTTTTTTTTTTTTTTTTTTTTACTGTATTAACATAACTCCTGTATGTTATAAAGATATGAGTGATCTTTGCAAGGAGCTTCCAAATGTTATATGATGGCTTGTTAGTTTTCCTCATGGCTGCTACATCTATTTATTCTCTTGAAAACAACACTTTAATGTCTTTCTATTAACTTACTCTGTCTTAGAGTCTGTAGTACTTGAACTTCTGTGACTAAGTTGCTCTATTTAGGATTCTAAGGCTGTGCCCAGCCTTGGTGAGAGCACGTGCTATGATGATTAATGACCATTGTCACAGACTCGGTAGAAGGATTGGTCGTAGCACCTGTGTAGCTAATATATATGCCCTCAGTTATAGCGGTTTCTCAGAAGTAGCCTGGAGTTTTAAAATTCTTCTCAATTCAAAGTCAATTGAATCAAATTACATTCAAGTCATTTTATTCCAGGGTGTAGGCAATGCACAGCAGGTAGAACCAAACTTTCCCAACTGTGAACTATGTGGAATGAAACGTCCTTTAACATGAATAGAAGGCCATCCCTTACCCCTCTCCTAATCCGTTAATAATGTCTTATGTTTATCAATTGCTTCATAATATTCAAGCCATGTAGATTAACTCAGTTGAGTCTCACAATAACCCTGAGATGCACGTAGAGCAATATTATATTAAGCAGCTTATGGAAGTGAATATTGATCCTCAGGTTAATTAAGTACCTTCCCAATTAAGTACACAACCAGGGGGCATCAAAACCAGTGCTCGAACATATTTCTTCTCGTTGCTGATTCCAATTATCTACTGGGGTTGATTTCCAACACATTCTCATTGAGAGAAATAAAGACCAAGGTCACAATGTACCCTTGGCCACACAGTCAGGACAAGTAGGATTTATTGAAATGCCTTATTAAGGAATTGTGTGGGCACAGATAAGAGGAATCATATCTTTGATAGGTTAGCAAACCGTTATATGCTGACAAAGCTCTCTGAAGGTTTGCATGGGGGACAGCTCAGCAAGAGTCATACAGTTGAGTTACAAAATATTACCACATACATCAGATTTAAGGCACCTGAGGCTATTCAACACACATTGTCAATGAAATTTCACATTTTGTACTACTGAGGTTAGGTGGGATGGTGTTTATCAGAGATCTTAGGGCTTGGTTGGATAGAAGATATCTAAGTTTTTTATAGTTCCACCTACAGTCTCACTTTTTTCTCACTGCTCTTAAAGATAACTCCGTCCTTTCACACTACTTCTGGGATAGTAATTTTTAGGGCACCTCAGTCGGAGATATGTGTGTCTCTACAGTCAGGTCAGTGAGGAAAAGAAACAAAAGTCTCTTACTTTAAGGAGAAGCCTTCTCAAGCCACCTCTCCCTTGCAATGGGCCCTCTGATCTTGTGATCCAGGCTCTTTTGTCCTTCAGAAAGCAGATATGGAAGTGGAACTTGGGGAGGACATTCACTTTGAGAGCTTCTAGACCCCACCTCCATCCCAAACCCACTTTTCCCCTTCCACTGCCTCCTGGGAATGAGCCTAGAAAGGGCCAAGGATTTCCAAAAAAAAACCTAAATCAACCAAATGGTATATGAACAAACTTCCTTAGAACGTAGATACATTTCGCATTTCTAAATCTCCATGTCTTTCAAGGATCCCTGACATAGCTGAAGGGCCACATTTCAGAGCTTGTCCTGCCTTCACCATTGGCTGGTTGTGTTTTCTAGGACAAAGCACTCACTATCTGCACCTCAGTTTTCTTAACCAAAGCTTTTTTAAATACCAGTTGTCATACTTCATTCCCAGGGTTGTTATAAAGATTAGATGTGGTCATATAAGAGTTGTAGAAGGTCTGTGTGGAATGTTTGAAGTAGCCTTAGACTAGGCATGCAGAAAAGCAGATTCTTACTGGAGACCTGCTCTAGCTGTAGCTCTTACCACATTTTGGAAGGAGCTTCACACAAGTGTTCGGTACCATTAGGCTAGATGATTTCTAAGGACCCTTCCAGCTTGGATAATGTGAGATTCAGCAGTGACTTATTTCAGCAAGGTGGCTTAAATCAAGTGAAGTTCTTAATTCTTCAATTGGGTGTGAGAAATAATGAAGATTGCCCCAATGCTTCTTTCCCTTATAGCTAGAGGCCCCTCTTTACCCCCTTCACTCCCTGTGTGAGAAGTTTTAGCTTGGTGACTGGGGACAGAATGGGGCTACTCTCTGAGAGCACCGGATGTTGGGGAAGGTGAAGAATGCCTTTGCGGAGCCAGCCAGAAGTCCTTTCTGTGAGGCAAACAGCGAGGCAGGAGAACATCAGAATTATCTAGTTGGACTAGAAAGAGACCACACCTGTCAACTTGAGGGGAAGTAGGCTAAGAATGGCATGCTTTTCCTCTGCCTAAATTTCCTCTCCCCTTTTGTATTTTTATTTTGGTCTCCTTTACATAGAATACAAACAACTGGTTTCTTAGTGGACACCAAAAAGCAGGTCTAGCCCAAGGTTGAAAGGATTATCTTTCCCCCTTAAAGTGTCCTCCATGAGACCCCAGAGAGCTGAAATCTCCTGAATCTATTTAAAATGCCCCAATGCTCTATAATGTTGGGGGATTGTCCTGGAGATGGAATTAAACTGATTTGGGTTTGAATTTTGCTTCTTCCACTTACTACCTGCAATATCTTGTGCAGACACTTGACTGCTCTGGGTTGAAATTTCTTCATATTTAACAGGGTCTAGCAGTACCTGTCTTCTAGGGTTTGGGGAATGATAAATCCTTTGAAAACACTCTGTAAAGTTTTGAGTATCATGTGGAGGATTGATATGAACACTAACAATGTAAACTGTTTTATATTCTAGAATTTTTGGAGCCCATTATTTCTTACCCTATTTAATGGGGGATTTTGTTTTCTTTTGTTTTGTTTTAGTGTTTTTTTAGATGGATGTTGGCTTTAACAAGAGCTTCCACTTATTTCCTTAGTTCAGCTTCCAGAGACTACTGCTAGGTACTCGGGTGCCAATGTTTAGTATCAGCCTGACCCCTTGTGGTTCTTCAAAGAACTGTACCTGCAAAAATATTCTGGAATACAGGGACATTTTCAGTACCCAGGTCAGTCATCTAATGGTAACTACAAAATCATTTAACTTTTTTGGAAAATAAGCTTATGTGATCACAAAATTTAACTAAGGGGTCAGGATCATTGGTATTTCACTTCTACAAATAAAGCCAACAAAAATTTGCAAACACACACCTCTAGGGTGTAGGACTTCGTCTACTTTTCCCTTTACTGCTACTCATGTGGTTACATCAGCTCCTTTTAAAATCACTCCAGTTTTCTAAATGCCTCCCTGACTTGGTTTCTCCTTTCCTTGCGTTCCTACCCCCTCCACACTACCAAAGCTGCTCTACAAAATGACTCCAGATACACCAGTGGCTGTTCCTAAAATGTTCATGACTTTTTATGACATGTTGCTCCTTTCTCAAACTCTTTCCTGACTTCTGTAGTATGTCGATACTCTGGCTCTCCAACGATTTCTTTTCTATTCCTTTTATCATCTTTTTAATTTTCTTCCTGAGTATTCACTATGGTCATTTTTTGAGAAAACTTTATATACTTGATTTTTTCTTTCTAAAAACATATATATTCTCAGATAATACTGACGAGTCTTAGACATTTTTTTCCTTGTGTCTTTAACAAAATTTCAAGCTCTAATTCCTATTGATCAGAAGCATATAGGACCAACTTTAGGTAATAATTTAATTCATAATGCTCATTTATATATAGTGAATGATTCTAAAAGTATCCTTTTAAGATCTATAATTTAGACTACTAACTATAATCTACCATCAGATGCTTCAGCACGGAGAGACTTCTTGGTCTGCATGAGTGGAATGACTTAAGTGCTGGAGGAAATCTTTCTTCCTTTCTTTTTAGCAGAACCAGACTTGAGCAGGCATGCTCTGAAGGTTGGTTTCAACTTTTTCTGTCTGTCTTTGGGACTACCACCATCCTTCCAGCCATAGAGAAGAGAAATGGTAGCCTTGATGCCATCTGAAAGATGGAATCTTCCCTCCCCTGTCTCTTTAAGTGGGAAAAAGACAGTGGTCTTGGCAAGGCAGGCTTGGCTCATACTGATTCAGACACCTAAAGTCAGGTGGGGCTTTAGAGATCATTGAATCTAAATTTTTACTTTAGAGATGTGGAAACAAAGGCAATGACAGGGAGAAGACATCCTTGGATCACACAGCCAGTAAGTATCCAAATTAGAACTCATGTACATTGTGTCTAAAATATTTGAGCAAAGACAGTGCTCCCCAGCACTGGGTAATTATTTAGAATACAGATTCAAAACTCCCACCTGTGTGATTGTTATTTAGTAAGCCTGGTATGGCCCTGGCAATCTGTATATTTAGCAAGCCTTCCCAGTGACCCTAAAACAAACCCACCATGAGATTCAGGCCCAGCCCAAGGAATAGAATTGGTAAGTAGTAGATTTTAAATAAACTTTAGAAAACACTGAAAATCTGGGAAACATTAAATATCCTGGAAATCAAACCCTAAGAAGGGAAGAGACTTGTGTATTGATGAGAAAACTTGGATTAAATTCCACATCTTTTCAACCTGTGTGCAATAGTCTTATATTTTACTACATAGTGGGCTCTGAAATGGGATGGCTGGATCTCAGGTCCTTTCCTTATTTGTTGGTTTTGACATTTAACATAGAGTGTGCTGCCATATGTGTTCAAACATAATAAGAAATCAATTTTAAGAAGTACAACATTACATACAAAGACAAACACATCCATGTGTGTTGCACACACACAAGTGCACACACACACATTGTGAGTTAATTGCAGGGCATGATCCTTTGTAAGATGCACTTCAATTTCTGAGATTTTAAAATTGGAAGAAAAAAAGTCTTATGCAATAGAGTGGGTATACCAGAGTTGGAAAAGGTTTTCAACTCTTTTGCCAACATGAAGCAGTTGGCAGTAGTGCCTGGAAACTTTCCATGTCAAGGGTTCTTGGGCACAGCACGGATAATGAGAATGATTGCCAAGATCAAGTAGAAATGTTCTTTCTATATGGACACAGGAGCAGGACTGGCTGGGCAACACCACTTATTTGTATTGTCTTTTGATAGTTAGAACAAGCAGTCTGAAGAAAAGTTGGTGTATTAATTTGAAAAAATACCGGCCAGACAATGAAGATGATTTGTGCCCATTCCAATTTTTAGCCCAAATTATATTTAAATTTGGGGGAGCCAGCCTATGTGTACTCAAGACAGAGTAGTAAACAACCTTTTCTGTTTTGTTTTTTTACAGTAAGCAACTTTTTTTTCTACTCTCCTGACCTTATTTCTACAAAGGAAATAATAGTCTCTGCTAATTATTAGTGAATAACTAATCCTTTTATAGTTTACCAAATGCCTCCACAGAGTTTGTATAACTTCAATCTGACTACAATTTTGTGAGGTGAGTAAGACTATTGCTTTTTTTACAGTTGTGGAAATTGCAGCTCAGAAAACCGGAGTAACTTGCCCAGGATCTCACAGTGAAGGCAGGATAGAGTGAGGGTTACCGTAGATTCACCCTATTTTTATTTATAGTTACTTTACTTTAACAAAACCTGAGAATGGGTGTGTAGGCCCTTTCAGCTCATTGAGAAATTGGAGTTAAAAAATGAATTATTTCCACTGATGCCTGCATTTCTACTTGTTCATTGGTTTTGCTCTTTTGCCCACAGACAAACCTCTCTTTGGCCCAGGAATGCCAGCCAAACACCACCCAGCTCTGAGGAAGAGATAAAAATATGCACTGACCTGATCTCCTTGACTGAAGACACCTGGGGAAAGAAAAAACACAAAATCTGAACATTGTCATTTCTGAATGTGCAAAAAGTGGAATTTGCAAAATAAGGAAATCCTCAAGGCTGGAATGATACCCATTCTTGGTTCTTGGTCATCTCAGCAAGTTATGGATGGTTGTTTGATTTTTTATACCTGTTCACTTCTTAGGGAGCAGTAGACACTTTGGAAGTGATGAAAGGGGATGGACCAAGATGAGGGCATATTTCTTAGAGGTTGTTGGGGGGTGAGGGAAAATTGTTTCAAAATCTGGAGATTCATGTTGGAGTTCTGGCCCAGTTACTATTCACTCGGAATGACTTTTTCATCTCTGATCTTGCTTTGGAAAAGTTGGGTTGGAAACTCTCCTCTGACTTTGACATTTCCAGGTTCAGTGCATTGTCTTTGTTACAGGTGGTTCGGGAAGAGATTGACTTTGTTATTTGTTCTCTGAGGTCAAAATTGTTTTTCTGCCCTCTGCACTCAGCTTTAAAGACTTGGCCCAAATATAGACTGGCAAGGACAAAGTCGTTCTCGGTTCTGTGACTCATTTCTCTTACTACCTCTCTCTAAATTCCTGAAAGAGGGAAGAAATCTATAAATACAGTCATGATTCTTTCTCTCCCTCCATCTTTATGGTTATGTCTGTGTTTTTAGGTTGTGGCTAATTAGTTCAATGGCTTCAAATACTGACATAATAAAAGCATTAGGTTCAGTTCTGCTGAGCTGAATTCCGGTCATCTCTGTGGAACTCCTAATGCAGGTGACACCTCGTACGTTTAGCCAAAAGCCTCCTTGACAACAGAAAGTGTGTGAGTAAGTGTCAGCACTTGAGGGAGGACAACTGGAAACGCCTTAAAGTACATTCTCTATTAATGGGGCTGAGGAGAGAACAGGGCTTTTAATTTTGAAATAAAGTTGATGACCATCTACTGTAGTGAGTACCAACCATATTGCAGCAGTGTTATTAAAAATATAGATTTTTACGACAATCACTTGGAAATTCCATTACATAAGACCAAATAGGGCCTGAAAGTCTATATTTTTGTAACCACCGTAAGTGATTTTTATGACCCAGGAAAACTTATTATTACAATTCTCAACCATTTTTTCACTGTACAAATCTTTGATCAGAAGAGGAGAGATTTTGCCCACTGTCTTATATGTAGGAACTATCAAGGCAGAAGGGAGATTAACATCAGCAATGCATGAGTTCAATATGGTGGTCCTATTATTAAATTTTAATAATGTCAATATTAATAGACATTTGTTAGACTCTTACTATACCCCATCTACTATGTAAAGCACTTTGCATGCATTTTCTCATTTAATTCCCTACATAAGGATATTCCTTTTATATTTCTGTTTTATAGATGAGAAAAAGACTCAGAAAGATCCATAAAATGAAAATGCCAGAACTGAAAATCAACATTAAGACTCTTAGCCATTAACCTTCCCAAATACCGATTTATCAATGAAGGACAATGTCTTGGTAAGTTGTCTTGGTACACAAGATCCAGTTAAAAGATCGTAAAGAGAAGCAATAAGAGGATATTAATTAACTTCTGAGAGCATCTTAGCAAAAAAAATTTAACACAGTCACATCTATTTTTACGCCATCTCAGCAGGTGACAGAAAAATTGTTTTGTGTTATTTAGCTTTATTAGTCAAAATTATTCCATAATATCACAGTTATCCTTTATCCAACTTTTTCATATTTCTAAATGTATTTGTTCATGTAAATATAACCAGTTTCCAGAGAACAATTACTTCTTTATCTATTCAATCTCATTGAAAACTTGTTGGTTTTGCATGTTCAGGAGTTTAAAACCTCTGATACCACCCCACCTCCCCCGCCCCATTCAACGACTTCTGTCACAGAAAATTATAGATCAGACATGGAAGGTCCCAGGACACAGCCTTATTTCTAGAACTCCATAAATGAGAGAATATCTCAGAATGCTGAGCTCTGTCTCCAGCTGGCACAGTCATAAGTGGAAGAGAGGAGTCTAGGCCTTGGGTCTAGAGACTCTAGAGTGCGCTGTGTCTATGACAACAGAATGGAGTGGAAAAATAAAGAAGGAAAGAAAGAGATACAGTGTCCCTGTTCACTCACATGGCCCTGTGCTGGAAAACATCAGATCAAAGTACAATTGTCCCTTGAACAATCCTAATTGATAGAATACATGATTTTTGCTCATTAAGGTGGCCAAAGATATTCCCCCTTCTTGAAGAACTGTTGAGTTCCCAACAGCATATATGCTTCAGTATTCTAAGATTGGATAACGTTTTTCTGAAGGATTCTCTAATTAAGTTTCTTTTTCTCCCTTATTTTAATTTTCAGTTGCAGTTGCTATATAAGAATACCCAGTACGGGGAAGTTTTCCTGTGTCCTAGAAAGGCAAGCTAATATTTAAAACGAGCCATCCCCTCGCTAATTTTGTGGAGCAAGCATAAACTGTGATGTCTAGAAGGCCCAATTAAATCCCAAATTCTACTTACGAGTTGCAAGTCCTTTGGCAATTTTCTTCTTTTTTTTTTTTTTGTGCCAGTTTTCTTATATGTAGAATGTAGAAAGAAATATCTTGCTGTGTGCATTGAACATAATGCCTAAAAGCCCTTAGAACATGCCTAGAATATAGTATATGCTCAACAAATAAAAGTTATTTTTATCATTATTACCATTTTGATCATTACAATCATTATGATGACCTCTCAGAATTGGTCTTTTATATCAAAATTGTCAGAGTTTTGTAATATGGTGGGCAAACACACTTGTCATTTCCAGTTCAGCATAAATATTGGATTTCAAAGTTAAAGAAAAAACTCACCTGAGAAAAAGCAGAAAAGAGCCAGAGAGAGGAGCAGAAAGACACCTGATATTTTCATGGTGCCAGTTAGCTCACTCAGTTCAAGGCTGTTCTGTCCTGCTCAGGTTCTCTGTCAAGACACTTCTCAGAGCACTGAAATGCTCACACTCACACATATATATAGAGAGGCATGAGGGAGTTGGGACATTCTCAAGCCATAGGCAGTCCTGTACACTGTAGGCATTTATTATGTCCTGTGACCAACGTAAAGAGCTGTTTCGTGGTTTCCATCAACCTTAAAATTAGGACAATTATGTGAGTCGCACCTTAGCTCTTATTAATAGAGGATGTCATTTTCCCCTGCTTAGCTAGATTTCCCTAACAACCAGTGCATCCTCCCTGCTCTTCCCTTGACAGTTTCGCTATGTTAAAGGGATGAGTCACTGGTGGGGCCACACTTGATGTCTACGTCTCCTTCAGACAGGTCCTGCGTGTCTGTGGTCCAGGTGCAGAACCTCAGAGGAATGGAATCTTGGGTGTAACTTGGATTTTCAGAGTCCACATCATCCAAGATGTACCTGAAAATGATTGGTATTCTACATTTGTCATCAGAACTGCATCAGTAAAAGCATTTTCTGGGCAGAAGTCAGTCTGTTAATTTTAAAAATCATTATTATAGTCAAATGGCTGGGCTCTTCCATTTTAAAGTCCAAATGAACAAGGGAGGCAATGTCCATTTCTTTTTAATTTGTAAAAAGTAAATTATCAATTTTAAAATTTACTGAATTGAGGAATATTTAATATTTCCTCCTTTTTCTGCAAAGTAGAAAAGTAGTTATAGTAAAACTCTTTATGTTTTAACTCCTTGAGACTATGCTTGTCTACAAGTTAGATGAATTCCGTTAACTATCATGGCCAATTTAATTGAGAGACAGAGCAAAAGGTGGGATGCCATAGCTTTCCTTGGGAAAACAAAAAATAAATAAACAATGGTTATAGTGATAATGGCAAAGTCTGTCTCAAATCATAGTCAGCTACTTAAAATATCATGAAAAATATATAATAATTAAAAATATGGGAAGAATATACAAAATGTGCCCAAGTTAAATACAAGTGATTAATGCAATGTTGTACAAATAACTCAGAAATTATACACCTAAATACCTGGTTTCCTTTTAAAATAGCCACTTTGAGAAAATATATACATACTTTAGATATTGCTCACTTTTCTTTAAGACATTTGTTTTCTTTTGGGAAATTACATATTTAAAAAAATTTTAATTTGATTTGTCTCAAAATTGAGGATGAATTTTCTGTCTTTGAGAATGGGGAATATATTTTATTTAATTTTACAATCAAAAATATGTACTGTTTAATAAAAAAAATGAAGCATGATGGTGATAAATATAAGACTTTTTAAAGTTGCTTCTCTGATGATTTTAAAAGACCTGGACTTAAAGGGCAGAGGAAAAAGGGGACAGAGGAGCACAGACGGGAAAGAGAGGACAGGAATGAGAGAAGGAAATGTACGTGCTTGGCAACTGTTAAGTGTCTTCATTCTCCCTGGTGTGATGACACACACACACACACACTCACAGATGCGTAATCCTAAAGTTATTTACAGAAAATTATAGGTCAGATGCTAGACACTAAAAATGTCAAAGACACCACAGAACAACCTTAAAAATTGTATTGGAATTTTCCTTGAACACTTTACGGGAGGAGTAGTCTGGGAACATTCAGAAAACAGAATAATTAGGGAATTGCTTAAGGAAAGCTACGGGATTTTCACATAACACTTTTGTCTGCTTCCCATGACCTTTAATTATTTTGACCCTGTTAAATGAGACAATATAAAGAGCCAGGTTTGGAAACTTGACGTCATCTCCTAAGCTTGGGCTTAGGGACTGCTGCCTTCCTCTGGCATCCTCACCCCACTCCCAATGCCTCCACCTCCCCTTTGCCTTCTCCGCTTCCTTCCCCTTTGTGATCAGAATAGACGGGAAGTCTACACCTAGCCCCGGTCCCCAAATGGCAACAAATTCAAAAGCATTAACAAATAACAAACACTCCTCCTGTAACAGCAGGAGTCCATGGCAGTCCATCACCAAGTCCTCAGCAGCCTTCCTAAAATTTGTTTCAACTCTTCCCAAAAGTGTCATTTATGGGAGTTGCTTCCCACCCTTTGCCCTAAACTCTCAAACTCATTGTTTGCCTAAATGGGATTCTCTCTCTCCGTCTTCCAGTCTCTCCTTCCCCCCCTCCCCCCTCCCCAAGAGCTTTTCTTCAATAGGTGTTTTTGATAGAATGATGCTTATGTAGAATGATTCTAACCCATTTTTTTTCTGAAAGGTTTCAGTTCTTTTTTTTTAATTTTTTTTCCCCTACATTTACCTTCCTCTCCATAACAAAGCTTGGGAGCATGGATAGCAAAACAAGTACTGAGTCTGGGCAGGTGCTGAGGAGAGAATATTTTATCACAAGCATATATATTTTCAGGAGATTGGTACTTTGAATAAATGTTTTTGTTAGGTTTCTGAGCCTATGTGAAAGGTAGGGTTTTTTGTGTGTGTGTTTTTTAATAAAACAAAGAAACAGATAACAAAGCTTCTCTGGGAATCACCTAATTAGCTCCTTAGATAAGAATCTGAGGTAAGAGAAGGTTCCTGGGAAGTCACAGGCAGCCGAGCACCAATATTCAAGAAGCCGAGTCTGCATCTAGTGTTCTGGCAGCCGGAGTAAGTAGATGAGAGCAGTTTGAATTTCATTTTCTGCAGTACTCTGAAAGGAAAATAGAAAAAGATCTAATAATCATAACACCTAAAGGTAAGTTTCAATGAATTGAATTATGAATAAAAAAAAGAAACAAAAATGAAAAGAAAACATGTGGGAGAAAGCTACAAAAGTGAAGCCATCTTACAGACAGTAGAACGAATGCAGCCTTGACATTCATGTGGCTGATTTTCAGAAATTAGCTGGGCACATTTTCTTTCACATAATTAAAGACAAAAACACCCTGAGATTATATTTTCCAAGTACAGTTTACCATATAAACCTGATATATTTACTCACATGTTTGTAATATTTTACCACTCGGGGTCATATACACAAAACCATCTACATTTTTAAGAGTAATTCTGATTCCCTAATTATGGGGGTATGAGATTCTTTTGCACAGTTGAGGGATTTTTAAGGGTACCTTTGATTCTATAATTTTACTGCTGAGTCTACAATATCTGCCTATTGAGGTGCAGCTTCATTGCTATTAGAAAGCTTAGGTCAGGACCCAGGGACATACATATACATGTTGACATGTTTTAACATTTTATCCATTCAACATTTTCCCCCCAATGTTGCTCATAAGTAGTGTGAAATGTCACTTCTCAAGCATATCTAAGCTTTAGCCCTGCCACTATTCAGCACAGGTTATGAGACAGAGGCGTGTTTTCAAAAAGGAACAGCCGCCACCTCAATCACAGAAGTCGCTGCTCAGAATTAAGTTATGGGGCTCAGTGTCCCACGGGGGTCCCCATGCCTGGACCCTACTGGCCACCAAATATCCTGGCTGTCTGTCTCCTCCATGGACAGTCTTATTCAGTGCCCATTACTGTGGTTACATCTCTGCCTATGACACCAGAACACAACGGTCCAATGCTCAAGCCACTGGAGTCCCTGCTTTGAACAGGTCATAAAGCTCACTGCCCCTTTTCTCATCTGTAAAACAAGGCTCACCATTTTTCCTCAGAACACCATTGTAAGGATAAATGTTGAGGGCTTACCACTATTATTTGCATGGTTCCCTATAAAATATTGCATTTGGATTTCAATAAAAAACCCCTTGCATAGTGTTAAAAAACAAAAAAGAATTGTTATGAAGAGTTTTTTTGTTTTGTTTTGTTTTTTTTAACATTACTAGCCATACAATAGACTAAAATCAAGAATTTTTTATTTGGCCACAATGAAAATCAAGCTAAGCCATAAAGTATGGTTTGCTATATAAAACTTTGGAAAGTTAACAAATGCTGTAAATTTTAATACAGTATTAAGAAACTTTGTGTCTTCTTTAAAGGTGTCTCTCTTCCTAATTTTCTTTCTTTTTCTATAGTTTTACATTTCTTTAATTCATTTTTTAAGGATGAATTGTGTATGTCTGTTTTTATAGTACACCTCAAATGCCTTATTTTTAAATTTGTGTTAAAGCTTAGCATTAATTTGAATAAGCTCCATTATAGTGTAGATTTAGGAACACTAGGAAAGACCATTATAGTGTAGATTTAGGAACACTAGGAAAACATGCCATTCTACTTAAGTATCGAAAAATAAAATAAAAGGTCAGAGTAACTTTGTTTTCTTGTTTGACAAGGTTGCTAGACTGCCAAGTGTGAGGAATACAGCAGACTAGCAGATGGAAACATCGTGATTGTTGAGGCATTGGATAAAGCCTCTCGAGCTGTAACTGGGGAGGATCGAATGATGAGCAGATGACTCACTGGTCGAACCACTAAGCAGATGGCTGCTGATGAATGAAACCGGCATGACTGGGAGGACCGCAACAATGTCCCAGTCGGTGCTTTCCAACAGACTTAAATGAAGACAGAGGAAATGCTTTAAATATGAAGTAACCTCTGGGTTACTCTCTCCTTTGGGGGCTCATTTTTGTCACGTCCATAAACAGTGTTTCATCTCTTTCATTTTTGCCAGTCATCGCGCCCAATATGCAGAAATCTTTTTGACTCCTGACATAAAATCCCACCTTCAGTGATTGCGTCAAATTGGTCAGTGAATCATTTAAGATATCATGTCTCATGCCTATCCTTGGGTTCATTTATTTCTCTCTTAACAGAACTTTTATAAGTCTGTTCCACGGAGGTCTGCACTGAGTGGCTATGTTTATTTCCTGATTGATTTTTGTTTGGTAGCTTTAGCTACATGAGATTATAATGATCTTGAAAGCAAGATAGGGTTTTGCCTTTTCTTTTACATTCTTTTACTGATTTCCCTAAGCTGAGCCGATGGTCATAATATATTTTTGAGTGAAAATATCCAAACCGTTGTTGTATTTATTTAAATTTTTTATCTATTAATCTTTTGGTTACCTTATCTAAGCTGCCTCCTAATTTCCTAATT